ACAACATGTCACTTGCGGTTCTTAGTGCAACAGTAGAACAAATAAAAACTGAGAACAGAATCAACAACTAGGGGAAGAGAAGGTTACTTACCAGCGTATGACCACCAGATAGCGCCACTATATCTTTGTCAGACAAACCCATCCTATAAAATACATCTTTCAGATGTGGCACACCTACCATCAATCGTAAAATAATCAGAGAATCTCAACCTTCTACAAGTTCATTTTAACAAACAATTGACAGATCAAGAGACTGAATCTTGTTGAGAAAACACCGCAAACAGAAGAATGACTTCCGAGAAAAAACTAGCGATTTTATCCACACTAATTAGTAGGTATGCCATATTCCCACTGGGAAAAAAGATTTTGCAGGTCACTGATGAAACTCCTTCACGACAGCATATTAATAAAAGAAAAACAGTTCATGAAACCTTGTTTAGCATCTGGCAACCGCCCTTCCTTTGGAGAAACACTGGAATCCTACGGAAAATAGAGAGGTATAAAAACGTTAGCATTTCATGAATATCATTATTAAGTGGTTATCAATCAACAAAGGATAAAAAAATTGTTACCTTCCTACCAGGGACAAAATCAATGGTCGGACCACCAGTGACCTCAACTGCAACAACTCCTGCAAGCTAAACATGGAATGGATTTTGATAACAGTTCAGCTCCCCAACTAATGTGTGCATTAACAGATCTTAATCAAAAACATAATTACCAACAGCTGAAGTGCAACATAATATGAGAACTCTCAGTTATTCATGAAAAGATCTAGGATCCCGTTTCTGTATAATATCATCGCTACAACGTGTCTAACCCAAAAAAGAAACACCCAGCTTGCACAAATTTAAGATGTATTTTCATCATTACATATGAATTTGACTTTCATGTGCCATGTCAGCAAGACATCACCTGTTGTGTCAGTTATATGTAATAACCACTCAGTAAATTGTCATGCCAGCAGCATGGGAAATAACACAGTTAAACAGACTATTTTGTATTTACATTATTCACTCCTTCTCCACATATTGGTGTGTATAGGTCGAAGGGTATGTCCTAACTAAGCGAGGATTTCCTTAAATCTAAAAAGTATCTTCTGTAAAACGAAGAGAACTATCAAGAAACAAACATTTCCAGAAAATCTCATTTGAAATCTAAAGCTTACAAGGAAGAAGTACATTTTCCTCTCTATATACTGATCTACAATATAAACTATTGGAGAATCGCCTCACTCTTCATTAGCCACTCATTCACGTAAAGAGATAATCAAGTTGATGATCATCCTTTCTAAACCATATGAATACCACGAAAAGCATTTCTAGAAAAAGAATAAAGAAGCCACCTGGTATAGATCTGCATACGTAATCTTTGGATGTTTAGACTTCACTGCTTCTGTAACGAGAAACACAACATGTTAAAAAAGGAAACAATAATGTCATTTACAATTTTAAGAGAAACCTACATCAAATAGTGCTTTCTGGTGGACACTCACACAATTTTACATTCAAGTTTGCAACATTAAAAAAAACATTTAAGGAAGGGAATGGGATAATTTTTCATCTTTCAGAGTTAAATTCAAAGAATTGACTGCTTTTCACTAGGGTCATTACAAGCCCATCAGTGCTTGTAGTGCCAACTCTCGTCCCTTTTATCCTTTGAGTTAGCTAATTGAGTGAAATAATTATACCTATTCAAAGTCACTCCCCTAATCCCCTTGTTGCTCCACCTAATTACATAGTCTAATAGATTCAATTTATAGGCATAATCGAAAGTAAACATCAGTTGTTCTATTTGCAACACTCATTTCTGAATTCTATTGGCAACTTCTCCCCGCGCTAAACCTTTTCGAATTTAGCTATTTAAAAATAACCTACTCTAAGAGTAAAATTCCAGAAATCAATAAGTAAATACTAGTACAAGCTATTCCAAAACGATTTCAAAACGCCAGATAGATGAAATTGCAAAAATATAGCGATACATTAGTCAAACAGATAAGCTTAATTAACAGCACAACGAATGAAGCGGAACAATCAAAATTCAGTGGTTTCGAAGAAGAAATTGTTACCGCAAAAGTCAAGAGCGATTTTCAATCCATTATTAGCTCCGTGACTGAACTCTTCCTCATTTCTGATGGAACCATTCGGTCCCCCAGTCTTCGACTTAGCATCGTATGTTCCTGCATCGTGCCATCTGCGCAGAAACATAATTGAATAAACCTAAATATAATATACACATATTAGACATATATTATATGTGTAGAGAGAGAAAGAGAAATTACGCTAAGCGAAGCATGATAGGAGCACAGTTTTTGCTGGAGATGAGAGCGCGGAGGTCGCGCCGAGCTTTCTCAATTTCTTTGAGGTACTCCGTGTCGACGATTGGCTTCGCCATTGATGGAGGAAAGGTGAATGAGGATAAGATTTTTAGCAAAACGAGAAATGGAGGCACAGACTTTGCTTTTTGTATTTGAGGCTTCAATTGGTTGTTGGAACTTGGAGCTAAAAGAGGCGGGTCAAACAAGTTTAGCCCATTTGGCATTTGGGAAATTATTCTTTTTTCTTTTCTTCTTTTTTATATGGATAAGCATAGTAAAAATGGCGTGTGGTAGCCACTATTTAAGGTGTTATTTATTTTTTATTCAGCAATTCTAATGTTGAGCAAAAATAGTCATTACTCTATTAAAATTAATATGAAAAGATATTTTTACCCTTTCTTCTATTTTTTTTCTTCCCAAACCCTCGCTTCTCTCTCGGTTTATCAAAACCGTTTATCAAAAGTTAAGAACTCTCACTTCTCTCTCCAGAACTTTAGTACAAGGTGAATTGGAGTTGTAGCTATCGGATTTATAATTCTATTTATATTTTCTAGAACACACACACGTTCAAGATCAAGTCCCGTAATATTTGGAAGGTAACAAGATTAATAATATGCATTACATTTCTAAGGTTCTTTTGGGGTAAAAATTGACCCTTTATCAAAAGTTCAAAACTCATGCCTCATTCAAAAAATAAGGAAATGTAGTCCTAAACTTAGAGTTACAAGTTCAAAAGTTAAGGACATGTAATCCTGAACTTAGAGTTACAAGCTCAAAAACTAAGGACATGTAGTCCTTAACTTAGACTTACAAGCGCATAAATTAAGGACAGCTAGTCCTGAACTTACAGTAACAAGCTCGTAAGTTAAAGACACTTGGTCTTGAACTTAGAGTTGGAAGTTCAAAAATTAAGGACATTTGGTCCTTAACTTAGAGTTACAAGTACGGAAATTAAGGACATGTAATCCTTAACTTAGAGTTACAAACACAGAAATTAAGGACAGGTAGTCCTTAACTTCGAGTTCCAAGTTCAAAAGTTAAGGACATGTAGTCCTGAACTTAGAGTTACAAGTTCAAAAGTTAAGGACAAGTAGTCCTAAACTTAGACTTACAAGCTCGTAAATTAAGGACAAGTAGTCATGAACTTACAGTAACAAGCTCATAAGTTAAGGACACTTGGTCATGAACTTTATGAGCAGAAGGATATTTTCGTCCAGGCGGGTAAAGTTTATTAAAGCAGTGGCTAAAGACTAAAGATATTTTAAACAGTGGCTTAAAAGTAAATACATGTCTTATTAGTGGCTAACTGTGCTCTTCCGCGTAAGGAAAGAGACCTTAAAAATTAGTCTTGATTAAATTTAGTCTTCAAATTTTTTCACTATTTCTACATTTCTGTAATGACTAATATAATTTCGTGGAATAATACTAGTTAGTAACATCAGTCATGTGGGATAACTTTTACTTAATAAATTTATTTATTTCTCTTACTCAAAAAGTCTTTTGAGAAACTATTACATTCATATTTTGTTTGAGACATGTATGATGTAGCACCTTCTTTCAATCGATTTGATAAAAGCCCATTAATTTAATAGTACTCCATTACCTTTTACTTCAATTTTTAAATTAAAAAAAAAGTGACAATTTCCATCATTTCATCTCGTGGACTTGCTAGATTTTTCCAATTCTTGATACGTTGCTCTTGAATTGGCTTTGTGACCAATCTTCAATTATGTCACTACTATTGTTGGCTGCCATAGGTTGGGTGGAAAAATCGATTAGCCAATGCATAGGATATTAAGAATTACAATAAATTTAACAAGGCTATAATGTGCGGAGCGCCCCTCGATTTAGCATGCGTCATGAGGGGAATAGATTCTACGCCTAAAGCCCTTCAAGCCGTCAAAATAAGGGAAACTACCAGTTATGTCCATTTATAAGTAGCTCATTATTAAAATTGGTCAATTTATAAAATATTACTAATATTAGCCAATTAGCTATTTTAGCAAAAATATGTCAAATTTTTTCTTTCTTTTGAGTGGGTGTTATTAGAATAAATTGGGTATATCTTAAGGAGCTTGAATCTCAGTTTTGGAATGATTTGTTGAAATTTTGAGGTGGTTTGAATTGAAAATTTTAAAGTAAAAAACTGAACATAAAAAAAATAATATGTGTATCATATTTGTATCACATGTATACATGTGTGTGAGATACATGCGTGATACTTGATACATGTGTCACAGAAGCATTTTTTGAACTCGATTTAATTATGAATTTTGATACAAAACCAGTCCAAATCACCTCCAATCTTTCTCAAATTTTGTATATTGACTTATCTGAATGTTTTCAATGAATTTCAACTATACCTATTGAAAAAGTTTCTTTTTTGCTTAGATTTTTGGAATATTGTATTTTTTTTTTGTATTTCATCACCTTATTTGCTACCTCATCAATGAAATTTCCTTTCCGTCTTGCATCTAATGTTGCTAATCACGTTTAAAAATATAGAAGGAGATTTTTGCATGTAATTCTTTGAGAGAAAGAACCTTATTTATTTGGATTTTTTAATTTTTAAATGTGTTTGGCTAGTTTTGGTAAGTCTATGACTAATGGCTAGAGGTTGGTAAATTAAAGACTTATTTGGGACATTTGTGTAAGTTTACCTTAAAATAATACAGACAAAGAGAAAAAGGCAAACTAAACAAACAATTTTGTTACGTAGTAATGTACAAAACAATTGCAAAGATTTTTCCAACGTGGGCTGAAAAAGGAAATATTTTTGTTTTACTCCCCAAACACCCATCGGACAATCAAAAAACAGAATACAAGGAAAATGAACATGTTTTCAGGCATGGAACTAGCGATTAGATCATGATGCAGTTCTCCATTGCAGCTCAACTTGAAGGCGACCGTTCTTTGAATCAATGAGGTGGTACTTCTCGTTGATCCTTTTGTTGTTAACAACATCGGAAAGGCTTATATCAATATAACCCAATACCTCCTGAGTTAAGAAGAAAATTACACCAGTATAAGTTAGCTTCAGTGATATAAACAATTAAGCGAGCTTCATTTTTTTTTAGATTGAGTTAAGTGAGAGCTTCAACAAAACAATGTCAAACACAAAACCAAAACTGCAGAAAGAAACACCATTTTATTCCATCGTCCTGGGAAGACACGAGAGCTAACAAAATGCAGAACCTCCTAATGGGAACATTATTACTGCAGGGTAAAACAGTAAATAACAGATGTGGTTTCACCTTTTGAAACAGAAGCTATATAAGATGCACCATTCCAATTACCAATGTGCTGTTGTTACTATTGTATGGTGACACTTCAACTGTTCAACATCATATTCTAAAAGGTCATCTCAAGTTTCCAGAGAAATACTACTTGCACCAGTCCGTTGCTCCACCCTTAAGGCATAATAAATATCAGAAAAAGCAATTTCTGTACCTTAGGATGCAATAGGCCAATCCTCATTGAGGTGCTGAGAACTTCCAAATGCAGCCTATCATTCACAGGAGGCTCCTCCAACACAAAAGTAAAATCCTCTTCCCATCTTGGATCCCTGTTCTTCTTGACTTGCTGCAATCAAGGTGGATAAAATCACGTAAATGAATGTGAGGAAAATTAGACATAGTATAACCCTATGCAGGAAATTTCTTGCATTTAAGTCAAAGTCAGACTAAGGGTATGTTTGGTATAACGGAAAACGTTTTTCAAGAAAATATTTTCTTGGAAAACAAGTAGTAATCTTATTCATTTTCCGGTGTTTGGTACGCAAATTAAGGAAAATAACTTCTCAAGAGTACTCATAAATAATTTAGATACAATAAACATGAAGTCATAAACTTTCGAACCAACAACCTTTCGAACCCACAAATTTCATAAACTTCCGAACCGCTAAACTTTCGAAACCGCGAAATTTCGAACCCGTAAACTTTATAATTTCTAAACCCGTAAACTTCCAAACACATAAATCTCCGAACTCATAACTTTGGAACTTGTAAAATTTCGAACATGTAAACCGAAGGATGAAAAAACTAAAACTTAAAATATATAAAAAAAAATAAATATTTTCAGGGGGGTTGCAGGAGCGGCGGGGGGTGGGGGTGCAGAAAAACGAAAAAACAGAAATTTAAAATTA